TCATATCATTAAAAAAATATAAAAAATGTCATGTAATTTGCCACATCATTAAAAAAATATAAAATATGCCACTTGGGCAGAGTTAACAGCTCAAATTGATGGAAGGATCAACGGTTTGCATTTTTTAGAGTTGAGGGATCAAAAATGTGCATAAAATACTTTAAGGACCAAAAATGTGCAAACTGATAAAGTTAAGGGACCAAAATGAGTATTTAACCAAAAAAAACCCTCAAAATATGAAAATATAAAAATCAAGAAAAATCTTGAAATCAAAATCAAAATTGATTGCTTAAGTCATCTACTCATGGAGTTTCCATCTCTAGTAACTCAAAATCTGTTAGACTCTAAGTGATTTTGATGATAACAAAACCCCCTAAAATATTTAATGAAATTGAAATTAAACTTAAATGCATAGTTGAAAAATCCCAGTGTGCTTTAAGGAAAAATTTGGAAAATTGCAAAATTGTGTTGAAGAGTCAAATATAGGTTGCTATATTTGACTCTTGAAGTAAGAGGATTCAATTCTTGCTTCTAAATTCAACTCTTACTTTTAAATTTGATTCTAAAGCAAATTGTGAAGAAAATGATCAATTCAGGGAAGAGTTGAATATCCAAGTCTATATTAGACTCTTAGTCCTTCAAGATTCGACTCCTAATTCCAAAGAGTTTAGAAAAGTTTGAGGCTTTGGACATATTCAACTCTCCATTTGGAGAATAGACTCTTGGAGCTCAATATCTAACTCTTAGTATTCAGATTCGACTCTTGGTTGGAGGAGGGAAAGTTGGCTGAGTCCCAAAATTTCTTGGAGAATCAACTTTTAGTTGGAAGAGTCAAATTTAAACTTAATAGATTCAACTCTTGAGTTGTAGATTCAACTTTTGACTGTATAGAAATGGCTAATTTTTCGAATTTAACGTGTTTGCTGAGCATTTAATGCATTCCAACAATCCCAAACCACTAATTTTGACTAGAGGAAGATAAACAAGGTTGGTGGGAGTATTGAAAAGCTTCTTAGACACTTCATTGAAGAGTTCCAACAATCCACTTGAGCTAAATCTTGCAAGCATTCAATTTTGTTAGACTTGTATGTTTTTTGAGAAAGTGATCTTCTTGTAATTCTCATCCTGTATTTTGTGAATGATATCTTGGGGTTGTGATCTATATCTTCAAAAGAGATTGTTAGATTGAGAAGAGTGAGATTGGGTGAAATTTACTTTCTTGTAAAAGGATTAGATAGCACCTTTACACTATTCTTGATCTCTAGTGGAAGGTGTAGTGGAAATCCTTAGTGAGTGAAGCTAATGTAAAGAATTAAGTGTCAAGTGATTGAACTAAATCTTTATAAAATCTTTGTGCAAGCCCCTTCTTCCCTTCACTCTTTAATTTTTAAGTTGTCGTTGCAAAAAGAGAAAACTTTTGAAGGCTCCAATTCACCCTCTTCTTGGAGTGTATTGAGCCAACAAAACCTGCCTAAATAGTGGAGTGGTTTTGCATGACTAAAGAGGATTGGGGATGCTAAAAATAGTCTTAAATAGAGAGAAAAAAAAAACCTTTTTATAGTAAAATTGCAAATTGAAAAAAAAAAAGACTAGAAAATTATAAATTTTGTTTTAATATTGATTAAAAAAAAAAGCCTAAACAACTCTTTTTGTGCCCCTCTACAACAACATCCAATACAAGTCAAGAATAAAAAACCATCACTATCCTCTTAGGCAATTGATTGAACACTTTTTATACGAAACTAACAGGCCGCAAATCTTCTTAATCTATATTTGCCCTAAGGCCCTAATCATAAAAACATATCACATAATCAAACACTCCCAAAACAAATAAACATAGCACAATCCAGCCTACTTTTCTAGTGGAGCAATTAAAGAACCCCAAATTAGTGCTTGACAACTCGTTTAAGTAACCAAGGAACTACAAACTGATTAACTGTGTCTAAACCAATGAGGATGAGTCATTGACTTCTAACCTTGGTTTGGTAGAAAATGCTTAAAACCCAACGATCATCTTAATATCCTATTGCTTGTTGAAGTAGGCGGACCCATGATTATAGATTTGGGTGAGGTAGGAGTCTTGGGTTTTTGTTTGGCTATTGGGAATACCAAACAATTGATGAGGAATTGTCAAGAAAGTCTTCGTCAAGCTTCGGCTCCAATTGGGTTTGGGTGTGGATTTTGAGGGTTGATGAGGATGGAAGAAATAGCAATGGAATGGTATTTGAATCGAAGGGGGAAAGAAAAAAATATTATTAAATTGAAATTCTAACTTTGTCATGTCCCAATTAGTGTCGTGTTATGTTATTTTTATCTTAGTCAATGCCATTTAATTTTCTGTTAATGGAGCAATAGAAAGGTAGATGGGAAGATGACGATTTATGATGTCACCCTTAACAAAAGGGTTTGTTTCAACGTTTTGATAAGAAGAAGGGTCAATATGCACTACTCTTTACTAAAGAAGTAGATCTGCCACAACAAGTAAAGTAGAAGGGCTGAGTTGCACTTTCTGCCAAAAAAGATCAGTTTACCACTAGGTTAGAATCTCATTTAGGATATTAAATGATATACTTATTTGAGATTCGGGCCAAGTCTCTCTATTGCATTAACAATTCTTCAGGAAATCTAGAGGGCAAGATCCACACCTTGTTCACTACTGTTTGATTCTTTGAGAGGTTAATAAAGATATAATTTTCATAAATTTTTAGTTTTAGTTTGAATCATATTTTTTTATTGCTTAAAAAAGTAAATTTAAGTTTAGTTTGATAATATTGAGGTGTAACTATAATTGTAGAATTTTTGGTTTTTTAACATGCACAAATATATAAAATATATTTATTATATTTAATATTTATTTTAATGAACATTTTATATATTTTTAAAATAATAAAAAATATAAAAATCAAAAGAAAAAATACTACAAAGTGTTCCAAAATGAAATATTAATATACTGCACACACACGTCACGGACCTCGCACCCAAGTTCTATTAAAAAAAAAAAAGAGATGCATCCTGTAGTTTAGTCTACAAATCAATCTCCTTTTTCGGCCGAGCCCATAATTTTACCTTGTTAAATTGAATTATATCATGATTATAATTAGTAATCTACTGTAGACAATTTGAAGGTCAACACCTTTTAATTTAAGAAGTGGATTCATAATGTTGGGACTTGGGACTTTACCTCAAATTACTCAAATTACTATATAATGGAAGCAACAAAGAATAATCCAGTAATTAAGGTCATGAAGAAATCTCACAATTTTATATGATGATAATTATAATTGTCTTTAAACGAATTAGTGTTGATAAAAGAAATTAAATGATTTTTAATTACTTTATTTGAATAGCCAAATTGAGTGTAATGGAAAGTAAAACAAAATCATGTTTTTCACCAATATTCCTCCAATTGCGGAAGATTAGAAAATGAAGGGAATTAGAGGATGCCCACGACCTAGTCTCCCATCCAATTCCTCTTTTTTTAGACCAGCTTTGAATTTTAGATCATATCTTAATGCTCTATACTGGCTTTTTTTATTATTATTATTATTATTATTTACGATTAGGGTAACTTGGGTCTAGTTTTCACACAATTAGAAACTAATTCATCTTCAGAGATTTTTTTAAGGGTGCACCACACATAAGTTTAGTATATTTAAGAAAATTAATTTCTTTAAATGCTTCATCCAAAAATTTAAATTTCTTTTTTTTTTTTTTTTTCAATTTGGACAATCAAAGTATTTTATGTTAGCTTTAGTGCAACTCAAGATCAATTTATCCTCAAGCAATCTTAATGAGCATCCTCACATTAACTTGGTATGATAAAAAAAATGAATTTTTTTAAATACTAATATGAAAACTTAAATTTTAAAATTAATCTATAAAACGACAGTTTTTGGAATGTTACCTCTTTTAAAAGTGGGCAACAACATATGGGACTTGTACGAAGCTTTATTGGCTTTTTGACAGGGTGAGACTGACATTTTATTTTCAAATTTAAAATATCTGTAAAATGAAAAATTATGTAAATTGTTGAATGATGGATATATTTTTTTGATATTGGAGGTGTTTCTTATCTATTACTGTTTTATATTTTGATGCAATTTAAATTATAAAATAAAAAATCTTTGTAAAATGAATTAAAATATCTTTTGTACTCTATAATAAACTTTGTTGCTCTGTACTAACAAAAAAAAACCATTTTGCTTGTTGATTAAAAAAATTAAAAAAATTATATTTTTAGTATTATATATTATTATAAATTTATAAGCATTACATTTAAATTTTTTTTTTTATTAACCGTCCATAAAGGTTACTCAAAAGGTGTATACATCAATTCAATCTAGCACGTTCTGCTATCTTATCATCCCTTTATCATACTTGGTAATACACATGATTTGGGATTTTTGCACCATTC